GGAACCGATGCTGTAGTTAAACAGCAGGCATCTCTGCTTTCTAAGCAATCCTGCTGCTTTCCCTTGGCAAGCCTTGGTTCCTTCTGAGTACAGAACTAGATTGTCTGTTTCTGTATCAGTCAGCTGTACAACAGACAGCCACAGCAATCTCCGTGGTATCAGCATCCTTGTAGCTCTGCCCCAGGATTGGCTGAACTTGACTTTGGCAGGTCTGTTCCATGTGGGTTTATTCACAGCCTTGGTGGAAGGGCAAGGAGGAGATGACCTTGACCAGCTGACCCACTTGAGGTCGTGACTCACCCCACATCTGCTAACATCCAAGCAAAGCAACATACACATGGCTGAGCTCAGAGTCCAGGGTTGTAATGCCACATAGCAAAGGGTGTGGACACAGTAGGAGCCAATAATGGGGAGCAATAATTCAGTGGATCCCAACTCCTTCTCTCTTCCAAGTACGTCCTTTCTATCCCCAGTGCCTAGTAGAATGGGACCCTCAAGAAATGTTAAATGATTGATCAAATTATAAGTGTGTGCAAGGGGTGGGGGAGTAGACAGCTCATGGAAGAGAATCTGGGGCTCTGATTGCCTCTCCCCACCCACCATGTGCCCTGATTTCTCACTCAAGGGAGTTGGCAGCTTGTCGAATAGCTCAAAACAAGCCATCTCCTGTTTTGGGCCTGGGGGCGGGAGGATGCAGTGCAGAGTTGTGAGGTTGGTGGTTTTCTTCTTTCACTGAAATGTAGGCAGACTGTCCCTGACCACCCTGGCCAGCCACCTGGAGCACTAGAAAGTCACACCTCAGCTGCTTCTGGCCCCTCTGCTCAGAGCAGCCAGTGGGATTTTTCTTAAAAATAAATGAAACCATGTCACTTGCCAGTATCAACGCTCTAATGGTTTCCCATGCCCTTAGAGTAAAATCCTGAGCCCTCCCCAAGGCCCCCAAGCTTTCTCCTCCTCCCTCTTTCTGTTCCCTTCCTTGCCCTGTTTCCTCCCAGTCCTACTCCCTGGCCGTAAAGGGTCTCATTGTCTCCATCAAGAGCCTGTCACACACCCCATTGTCAAGGGGTTATTGCCAAAATCTGAGGGTTATTTTTCCCATAGACCACATCTTGGGAGTCAGACTCTCTTAATTCTCCCTCCCCACTGTCACTGCCTCAGTCCCCACCTTCCTCTTCTCACTGGGACCAAGCCCCCCAGCTGGATGTTCAGCAAAGGCCTCCCACTTTGCCTACTGAGAAAGAATGATCCCGGACACTCTCTTCCCTCTGATTCTGTTCCTTTGCCTACTTATTCTGCTGAGGGGGCTGTCACTTCTGTTCTTTTGTTCCTCCCCCATCCCAGGATTCTCCTAACTGGCCCCAGAAATCCCACACTCCACACTGCAGCCAATGGGAGCTTTGGCAATGTAAATCTGGTTGCACCCTCTTCCCCCTTCAAGGGCTACCTGATGCTCTTAGATTCAAAGCCATGGGATGGCCCACCTTGCCCCACAGGGTCTTGACTCTGTGCCTCCCACTGTGTTCCTCTCCCCTCCCTGAGAACACCCTCCCCCAGGGTTCCAATTTCCTCCCCATGGAGGACCCTCTGCCTGGAACTGTCTCCCCCACAACTCCACCCCAGCTTGCACCCAGTTAGCCCTTTCCCTCCCCTCTTAATCATATCTCGGCAGGGGAGCACCCCTTGGGGATCATCTCATCTGACCCAACCTCTTGCATACTCCCTTGTAACCCAGAGTCCAGGCTCAAGAAATACCTATTGAATGAGTGAATGAATGAATGGACAAATCGTGTGCCTCTGACAAGTGTTTATTAAACAAATAAACTACATTCAAGTTCTGTCCGCTCCCCTGCTCATTAATACATTCATTCAAAAATCTCTCTTGAATTCCTACCTTCCTGACCCTCAGCTCTTTTTCTTACTATGATAAACCAGAATGCAGTGCCCAGGCCTCAGGACTGCCCCTTAAGCCCCTCATTGCCTGCTGTGTGTTTGCTGTTTTACAGTTATCAGAAGGAAACATTTAAGCAGCTTGCGGCTGGCACCAAAATTCTAAGGTGGAAGGTGAGCCTGGGGAATCCCAACTGGAAAATGCTCCAGACAGAAAATGGCAGAATGTGTCCTGCACCCAATGGAAGCTGAGAGCTGAGAACAGAGTGGCAAAGGATGGAGAGGAAGAAGAGGAACTGGAGAGAGACCAGGGGCAGGCAAGGCTGCGCCAAGTGGCAGGGTCACCAGTGGGACCTGCTAGCTGGAGACCCCTGACATAGCACATGAGGTTGATTTCAGGAGACTGTTTCCCATCTCTTCCCACACACTCACAGGTTCTATGACCAAGGAGATCAAGCAGAGGCTGTGTCTAATAGCTGAGCAGTCAGGAAACAACAAACAGAAACATGCTCAAATGCAGGCATCTGAAGGCAGAGGGACCCTAAAGATGCCAGGCTCTGGGAGTTTGTAGATTCGGGCAGGAAGACTTTGGACAAGATGCTAAATTAGGGGACCCAAGCGATCTCCTTACATCTCGAGAGGTGGGCGGGCTCCAATCTGTGGATTGCACATGAATTTTTTAAAATGCTTTATATATTACTATTTTAAACACACCCAAGGAGACTGACATTGAAAGAACATTTTTTAGTAAGAGGGTAATTAGTGCTCAGATGCCTTTAATGCGACTGGGACCTTGACAGAGCTGCTTTGCTTCAAGAGAGGCAAGTCTGTAGCTAAGGGGACTGTTTGCAACTCTGAGAACATCTCAAGCCTCACCTGCTCCAGGCAGCCCTCCAGCATGCTCACACCCTCCTCCTCCTAAGCACCCCCACCATCGGTCTCTGTCCCCTGGTCTTGTGTACTGTCGATGCTGGATGTGGCCTCTGAGCACTTCCTGTGAGTCCACTACTCCCTGCTCAGACTGCCCCTCCTGCCAAGAACAGGTGTCCTGATTCTGTGTACCCTCCAAGCTACACAAACATGTGTCCCTGGGCCCATGAGCTCCAGGCAAGACCTCCAGCCTCTCCTTGGACAGTGCTGCCTCAGCCCCATCCCCAAACACTCAGCCACCGTCAGACTCTCAGCTAAATGAACATTTGACTGGTTTTATTGGATGTAAATTGAGGGCCTTTCAAATACAGTGACAGATACAAAGTACCCTGATTACATTCTGAGGCATAAGTCACAGTCATCACTTCAGAATCACTCAAGGACAGCCACGCGCAAGCTGGAATTAAGCTACCCGAGTCTGCGAACTCCAGCTCCGGAACACAATTTGCATGAAAATGAGCAGAGCCAGCCCCCTCCCAGCACTCTGCTGGGCTGGAGCTTCCCTCCGGGCACACTCTGCGGAGGGAGGGAGTCAGGGAGGAGAGAGGTTGTGCAGCCATCTCCAGCTCCACTCACAGTGAGCTTTTCCACGTCCAGAAAAAGACATTCGGGTCTCCCTTTCCTGCTCCAGTGGGCAAGGCTCAGGGAGCCCAGGGCCGCACGGCCCAGTCTTGGGAGGGGAGGACAAAGGAACTGGGGGCTGCAGAGCAGAGGAGGCCACTGGGTCTTCGCACAAGGCTGCCACTCTGGGAGGAGTTGGCACCACTGACCCCTGAAGCATCTGCCTCGGCTGCCATCCGCCTGCACACAGTCCCCAGGCAGGACTTTCTGGAAACTGACCTTCGCCAGGTTGTGGCCCAAAGCAGACACGGGCAGGCAGGCAAGTTATTCCTACCGTCCCTCTGCTGACCCGCAGCGTCTGTCCTGGCTTCACCTGGGGAGCGAGGTGGCAGGCAAGGAGCTAGCTCCAAACCCACCACCCAATAGCCCACGGTAAGCTCACTGAGATAAAGTGTAAGCTTAGAAAAAAAGCACGGACAAATATTTCACAGTTCCAACAACACGGCTTGGAAGCTTTATGGCTTTCTGAAAGGAGGTTAGTTACGTCTGGAAATGGAATCTGCAGGCCACCAAGCCCTAAATGTGTGTGCAGAGTGCGGGACCCCCCAAGGAGGACCAGTTCCCCGCCCCACCCCCACCCCCAACTTTGGATAGAGGGACTTGCTGGGAAGTCAGCCACTGAGGGCTCCAAGAGTCCTGCTGAAAAGGGGCTGGGCGGGGCTGGCAAGAACTCCTCCAGCCTCCTTCCACATGGCTGTAGCACCTGGGGGCCCCATCACCTAAAGCCAACTCCCTCCACACTCCCACTTTGCAGAACTGTGGCCTTGGGTGACTATCTGTCAAGTATGATCACCGCCTCTCCCGCCCTAGCTGGCACTGCCACCAATGCTGCTGGGTCTGGGCTCCTGCAGTAGGCCCCCAGGGAAGTGAGCACCAGTAGGCCCCTCCACACAGATGCTGGGCAGGTTGGGGATGAGGCCAGAGGAAAAGCTGGGCCTGGACCTGACTCCAGATTTAGCCCAACAACCCCAGAGAAAAGAAAGCAGAAGGGCTTTGGGGGCCACCTCCCCCACCCACTGGGGGAGCAGGGGCACCCACACCAGAGCTCAACCCCCAATCCTGTGGGACCTGGGGCCCACCACTGTCACCTTTCTGGGCCTTTGTCAAGTAGGATATTACTCTCAGCTGCCTCACAGGGTCCCTTGAGACCCACTGAGAACACAGATGGCTAGGTATTTGCAGGGGGCCGGGGGAATCATTCTTAAATTCAAAATAACCCCTGGCTTGAGTTACTTCACAGTCACTGCCTGCCATGCCTCCTATCCAGCTCTCCCCCCACGCGCACTAACATAACCACCTCACAGTAGCAGAGGGCAGAAAAGGCACCACCGCCTACCATGCAGCAAGTTCCCTTTGAGGCAGAAGGCAGAGGGCCACACCCCCTCCTCTGGACCCTTATTCTTGCAGGAGGGGTAGCAGGACACAGCAATGTTCAACCAACCATTGATCCCGCAAACATCAGAATATGAACCATTTACCTACCTGCACTTCCAGGGAACTGAGGGCTGGTCCTGTGGGCCAAGATGTCTAAGAATCGCTCTAAGAGTTTGGGGCTGGAAATCATTCTACAGGGTGTGAGCTGTTCCCCAGCATCTTTCAAGCAGCAGAGGGAGAGTTGCTGGTGCCTTTTTGTGCCTTTGCAGGGGTGTGGCCCCCTCAGGGTGAAATTGTCTGAATTGCTTCAGGATCGGGACTTGGTGGATTAGCTGCCACTTCTTACTGTATCTAGCACTGGTCACCAATCTCTTAGTTTGCTTTATTATTAGAAACCAAAATCAAGTCTGCTAAAATTGAACTTAAAATTAAAATGAATGCCGTGAGGGGTTTGCTGTTACCAAATGTTTGGTCTTTGATACAGAACTTTAGAGCATCTATTCCAAAAGGGCTCGAAATTAATTTCCCTTCATCTGAGTCGTCAGCTACCTGAGGACGAGGGGCGCTTGCTGGGGACAGGCTCCGGAGAAGTGAGGTGTGCTTTTACCTCGTTTCAATAAAAAGTCACACTTCCTCCCTTAACAACTCTCCACCACAATCTGGGTTTTGGTAACCTGTGGCTGCACGCTGAATTCTGGGAAACAGAATATTCTGAATACAAGATTCTGAGCTGCCCTGGGCCCCAGGCTGCCTGGGAGGGTTGGGGGGGTGGGTATCTGCAGAGGGAAGGGACAAGGACTCATCTCCAAGTGGAGGGAAAGGAGATTGAAGCAAGAATCAGGTTCTGACAAGTTGGTTTCAACTCCAGCAAAATTAAAGGGAAAGAAGTACATGAAGCAACGGGATGTGGCCCTTGCCTGCTCACAGCACCCGTTCCAGGGAGGTTTCCTCATCACCTCCTGTGTTTGATTCCCATGGGGAAAGGGAGGAACAGAATGTTGGACCCAGACTTTCACCCCTAGTGGGCCTGGAGCACCCGTGCTGGAGAGCACAGCACAGCACCCTGACCTGACCCCAGCACCAGTGACAAGGTAACCCTCAGCAGGACAGGACAGGGCTGCTCCCCACTCCAGAAACACCAGCCCCTGAGCTCTCATCACAAAATGCATCCTAATGTGGGGCACAGACGAATTCTTCACGCAGGCACACCTGCGCCTCCTAACCGAGGGAGAAGAAATCTATGTAACTTCACTTTCAAAATATTTCATGACGTTTATTTAAAGGTTTCAAATATCCAGAAAAAGAATATCTCTTGGTGCTTTTAAGAAGGCTCAGGCCTGAATCAGATTCTCCCCATCCGCAACCAGGAAAAAATACAGCACAAAACCAAGCTAGTTCAAAGATCATGTAGAACAGCCACCTTCACATGCAGTCCCCGGACCTGCATCAGCCTGGCTCAGGAGCTGTGGTTCCTGCTAAGCTCACCAAATCTGCCTGGAGGTGGGCCCAGAACTTTTCACCAAGGGCCACTGATGCAGGTTCGGGTTTGAGAACTGCTGGTGCAGAATAGGGGTCTCAACATTGGCTGCAAATTAAACTATTGCCGAGTTTGAGAACTCTCAGACTGGATCAGAAACTCTGGGGGCAGGATCCAGGCCCTGGCATTTCTTTCATTTTTTTTTTTCTTTTTTCAAAGATGCATTTATTTATTGATTGATTGATTGATTGATTGATTGTGGGACCCTCACCGATGGCTGGGGATCAAACTGGCGCTGCAGAAGCTGCGGGCAGCCTCACAACCTAACGCTCAACCACTGCGCCACCAGGGGAGGCCTGGCATTTCTTAAAGCTCCCAGGGTGAGGACCCGCTTCTTTAGGGCAAACAGTCTCAACCACAATGCAAAATAATGACTTAGGACACACAGGCCTATCCCCAGGCCAACTGAATCAAACCCCGTGAAAAGGTGAAGATCTGGCAAGGGGCTTATTTTCAAAAGATCCCTGGGTGATTCCAATATGCTCGCAAGGGCTGAGAATTCCAGAGGAAATCAAACTTTGAACCCAAATCTAAGAAAAGGTTGGCGAGACAGTCTCTGATTGCTGAGTCATACAGTACCCGCTCACATGCTCTCCCTCTCCTCTCCCTCCCTTCCTTCCACAGGCCTTTCCTTTCTTCTTTGAATGAAAAGAAGATTCAGAAGCAAATATCCAAAGGCATAAAAGGTAGGCAGGGCTGGGCCTCTGGGTCACCAGCTGGCCAGCTGCCAGCAGAGCAAGACCAAGTCTGCCTTGCCCCTCGGCAGAGGCACCAGGTCGCCGGAAGTCAGGGACCACACGGTGCAGAACAGAGCTTCAAGGCAAAACCAAACGTCACAATATTATTATAGGGACACCGAAAACATTTACTGTCATCGAGAACAGCTTTCACTTCAGCGATTCTATATGGATAAGCCAATCACAGAAAGACAGAAACTATGACTCCACTTAGGTGAGGTGCTAGGGCAGTCAACCCACAGAGATAGAAAGCAAAAGGGTGGTCACTGGGTCTGGAAGAGGGGGTGAGGGGTGTGGCCCCTTCCTGGGATAGAGTTTTTGTTTTGCAAGATGAAAAGTTCTGGGGATCAGTTGCACAGCAATATGCACTTAACACTACTGCAATGGGCTCTAAAAAATAGTCCCCTCAGCAGTGCTTTCGGTCCGTCTGTCTGCTCTGCTCCCCGCTCTGTCTCTAGTGAATCCTCTCACCCTCCTGCGCCTCTGGCCTGTCCCAGCTCTTGTATAAATAAATAAATCTTTTTAAAAAAATGGTTAAAGTAGTAAATTTTATGTTGTGTGTATTTTACCACAGTAGGGAGAGAAAAGGACTTGGATAGTGTTGAGGCCAGAACACATTTTGTAGATGTTACAGATTCCTGAGCAGTTAAGTTTTGTGCTAGGCTAATAGCAGGCTGTATTTTATATTTATGATCATATTTATAGAAGACGCAGAGGCTGGGTTGTGTGCCAGATTCTGGTTTTTACTCTTTGTCACTTAATACTCCAGACTGAATTTCAAGCCAGACTTCACCACTCACCTGGCAGCAGCCCCTGACCACGGGGAGAGCCCAGAGGTGCTTGAGGGCCCCCTGGGGATGTCACCCATGTTGATTCCCTGGCACCACATCCCTGCCCCAGGTTCTGAGCCAATAGGCTGGGTTTTAACAAGCACCCAGGGGATTCTGATTCTACCCTTTGAAGAAAGCCCTGCTTTCTCAGGAAGCCTGGTAGGAGGTAATCAATGCCCTCCAGGGGACAGAAGACACCTGGACTTTGGCATACCCCTCCCCCACCTTCCCTTACCTACAGCCACACTGGCCCCGCCCTGGCTGTAGGGAGAGAGGCCACGGTGGGTACTGAACTCAGCAGCACCACCTCACAGCCCAAGCTCCTAGCCCCCACTCTCATCCACATCTGGAACAGACATTTTGCAGAGCTCAGCTTATCTGTTTTCCAGCCGATAAATAAAGCATTTTCCACTTGGCTTTGAGGCTGGATTATAAATCCCTGGTACACTGTGACCCAGCCTGCACCTCGGCAGAGGGACACAAGGGCCTGACAAATCTGCAAGGTTGTGAGGGAGGGGAGAGAAAGGAAAGGAAGAAAAAAAAAAAAACATCTTCCCTTCTTTTGTTTGAACTAAACAAAAGAGAAAGGTTTGTTAGTGGACCAGATGCAGGTGAGCAAGATTTTAATAAAGGGAAGCAAGAGATGGGGCGATGGAGCCAGCAAGCCACCCAACACAGACATTTCAGGTTCCTGGGCCCCAAACTTCCCAAGGAAAGGTAAGGAGTTTGCTTAGCTCAGTGCTTTATGCACAGAAGGTACTAGGCCAAAAAAAAAAAAAAAAAAATCAACACAGGACTCTTATGCTGACAATACAGGGTGTTTCTCAGTTTATTAATGAGGTCTCCCGAACTGCTGGTGTCCACTACGTTACCAGAGACCTCCTTGCTACAGTAAACTTGGCTGCCTGTGCTGGGGCCACAGAGATGAACCAGATACAGTGCCTCCCCTCCGGGAAAGGACACGGAGACGCCCATGCATCATGCTATGAGGTTGTCCTTCTGCATCAGAGAGAGCTGGGGAGAAACTCAGAGGAGAGAGTGCCCGGCCCAGGTTCACAGAGGGAAGGCCTCGGCCTATAACCCGACATCACCTGCAAAAGTGGCTGGGGAAAGGGGAAAGGAGGGGAGACAGCGTTGCTGACAGCTTGTGCAAAGGCACAAGGCCCGGAGTGTGGGCCTGGGGAGCAGGGAGGTGGCAGGAGGGTCTCTGGGAGGTGAGTAAGCCAGTTTAGGACATGGCCCACAGAGCTGGGCGAGGAATCTGGAATACACAGTACAGCCAGACAGAGGGCTCCCCCAAAGGTGTTTCTAGAAGGTTGTTCTATGGAAGGAGAAAGATGAGGGTTGCAGGGAGGAAATGAATTCAAGGGATATTCATGAGCTGGGACTGGCAAGGATTGGTGAACAAATACACACAGAAGGGAAAGGAGAAGGAAGAGCCGGGGTGACCGGGTCTGGGACTCAGTGGCCAGGGGTGCGGTACCAGCAGCTCCTGGACTGCTGGGGAAGGAGGCAGGGGGAACCTGCACTCCTGGGGGTCTAGTTTGTGCCTGGCACTGATCCCACTTAACCTTCATTGCAGCTGCTGAGGCTGGTGTCCTGGCTTCACTCCTCAAGTGATGAACGAGAGTCCCCAGGGGTTTCGGCAGCTCGCAGAGGTCACCCAGTTAGTAAGTGTCAGGAGACAGCTTCGAGTCCAGATTGAGGACATGTTGAGGTGAGAGGTGCCGCATAGGCAGATGTTCCAGAGCCACCAAAAACCTGCTTCTGAAGCGCCAAGGAGAAGTGGCTTTCAGGTCAGGGGGTCAGGATGCCAGGACAGACAGGAGAGACTTGAAACTGCAGACAGATGGCATTTCTGCAGAAATGCTCCTAGTAAAAGAACCCTGAGAACGCTTCGCAGAATCAACCAGGGGGCCTGAGCAGAAGCATTCAGACAAACAGGAAGGAAGTGGGGTGGGGGGGAGTTACCAGAAAACACAGAAAGGGACTCAAAAAGGCAGTGGGCCCACCCTGTCGCATGCCATGCGGCTGTCAACGATGAGGCCTGAGACCATCCACCGCTTTGGCAATTGTGATTATTCTCCGCCAACCTTGGGAACTCAGAACCCACTCCCTGCATGCCCTCATGCGCCCCTCCAGCTTCCCAGAGCTGGGTCATGCCAGCACTCAGCACAACTCCTGCGTGCACTGGGAGACTCTGGGTTCGGCCTCCAGACACCCCCACCAATCCACAAGCTCTAGGAGGCCAGGGCTGCCTTTGCTTTGTCACCAGCTCCCTGGCACCTGGGACAATGCCCAGCACAAAATGAGCACTCAATATATATTTTTGTTGAATGCCTGAAGCCAGTTCTGTTTTCTTCCTCAGTTATCAGAAAGCCCTGCCCTGTCTCCTCCCCAGGCTCAGCAAAGTCAAGGTGACCAGCTCCTCGCCAGGCACTTAGCGGCAGCGTTGCAGCAGCAGCAGCGCGGCTGAAACCGGCTCAGAGCCCATGGCTGACCTTCAGCCACCTTCCTTTCTGCTTGACTAAGCACCGAGTCATGTATTTATTACTGCTGCCTTACAACCCCAGAGCAGTGGGGTTTAGCACAAAGGAAGATACACAGTTGTGTTGCTTGTGGGGAATCGATTCCCCTTAAATAAGAATTTAACTGGTCACCTGTACCACACAATGGGGCAGTGATAGGGCTGCGAGGGAGATGGTGGGGGCTTCTTGAGCTAAAGCCTGGATCTTTCTGAGTTTCTGGAAGTGTTTTTCCTCCCAACACTGACTGCAGGAGAAAGGTCGGCCTGGAAGTCAGGAAACTAGAGGCCATGTGGCCATGGACAAGTCCCTCAACAAGTTCTCACTTAACATGGACCTTTCTGGGCATCTCTCCTACCTGCAAAATGTGGTGATGGCCTCAGCTCCTCTCCCGTGCTAGACAGCATACATTCTGTGGGTGGGTTGGTGCTGGCGCTAGAGGTGGGCTGGGGTGGGTGGGACCAGGATGGGGTAGGAGGCACCTACCTCCTAATACCATGACAGCCTCTAGGACTTGGGATGGCTCCAGAGTATTGTCCTTAGAGCAGGAGCCAGGACTGCCCTGCAGTGCCTTCTCTGCCGGGACCCCTCTTCTTCCCACCCTGTTGCTGCTGGCTGGGAGGTGGCTGGGACTGAGGCTCGGAGCACAGCCTCTAGATTCTACAGACCTGGGCCAGTTTCCTCCACTGGGGGCCTATCACTGAATGGCTCTCAGCCTAGTCTCCTCACCTGTATAACGGGAGCCCTCCTACTTAAGAGGATCTCATGGTGATTAGAGGAAAGAATGCAAAGATAGTGCTCGGTATAGGGCCTGACACAGAATGAGAGCACAGCAAATCTTAGCTATTACACTATATAAATACTACTTATGGCCTAGATCCACACATCATGAATACCTCCAAGAAAATAGATTATAGAGACTATAGAGATCTTTTCTAAGCCTCTAGTTAGAGAGATGAAGAAACTGAGACTCCAAGGAAGAGGGGGGATTTGTCCTAAGGCCCCAAGCAGAAATAGGATCTGGAGTCAGAAGCCACAATTGATGGGATGGATCCTTATCTGCATCTCTAGCTCCTCCAAGGGGCAGACATCCCTGGGCTGTGAGAGCCATTGTGTCCAACTCACCAGTTTCCAGCCCCCGACTCTGCCCCATCTGGAACATAAACATTACCCAAAGGGCTTCTACAGCAGGAACTTGGTGGAGCCCCAGACCTGACTTGACCCAAGTCACTTTCCCTGTTCTTGATCTGTTTCCTTAAGTGGGATAAAGTGGTATTTAAGAGTCTTCCAATTCCACAGTTTCAAGAACTGGGCTCAGTTAATCACGTTTAAACAAGGGGCTGGGAACCTCAATTAGTAGGAATCTGTCCCAGGCGTTCCTTCCTTGGGAGAAATAGGCAGAGCCCAAGAAAGCACAACCATCCACTGCCCTGGGGTAGTTTTCCCGATTTACCAAGCATTTGGGCCTCCTCTGCTGATTGGCTACTTTCCTGTTCTCCAGACTGGCTTGAGCTTTTCCCAGCTGGGCATTCAGAAGGAAGGTGAAGGGTCAGCATCTAGGACAGTGTTACACACAGAAGACAGGCTCCATAAACACCCGCCAACTCGAAACACAGATAAAGACGTTCTGCTCAGGGAGGATCCCTTATTGGGAGCCTGGAGGCTGGGCACACCTGAGCTCTCCCCTGTCCCTCCTGGATGGACCTACAGCTCTGTCTGTAAGATGAGGCCCTCAGGTGGAAGGTGCTGTCCCTGCTGTGTGCTCAGTTCTTCTTCCTCCCCTGAGCTTCAGCAGGCAGCCTGGAGTCTGTGTGTGGTCTGCCCTCCACTCTGAGAAGCAGAGGCACTGACTCCATTTGCCATCTTGGCCTCCCAAGGCAGAGGCTTGTGGGAATGTATAAGGGATGGAGAGAGAGAAGGGGGAAGAGAAGTGAGGGGGAAGGGGGATAAAGCCCCTCTGACACTAAGGTCCCATGGTCCCACAGAGCCAAATACCAAGGAAATTCCCCATAGGCCTCTACCAGGCACAGCCTCATTCATGGTGGAAACACCTGAGGGAGAGCAGAGGGAATGAACTTCAGAGGTGAAATGACTTCTGAGCCCCTTTTAGCCTGGGCACGCTACTTTCCCAAAGTGTAAGCCCCATGGGTGCATGTATGAAGTCACTCCTTTACAGTTCAAACCCTGGTGATGCTGGTGTCGCCGGAGGCCATCCCCTAAGCTCACCAGTGACAAGTCAGCACTTTCAGCCTGGAGCCTCGCGGTTCTGACTCAGCAACATGAGCGAGCAGGATTCTGCAGTATTTAGGAACAGAAAGAGGAATGGCTCTTATATAAATAACTCCTGGTTAAAACAGAGCTGGAAATAAGGAATCAGAAAGGAAGCAAATTGCTAAGCACTTATTGAGTCGATAACACTGGCTTGAAAACCTTAGTGCAAATGGCTGGTCTGGTTTATTTCCTTCTTGTCAAAAGATCAAACGCAGGATTGAACCTGGAGGCACCAAGACTGTGTGAGTCTGAGGATGTGTTTGAAGGGCCGAGGCTCTCGGGAAAGATCCTAGCATGCTGGCCTTGCGTCAGATGTCACCATGTCACTTAATGGACTCGGTTGGTCGGGGTGACTTCCGTTGATAAGTCCCTGAGCCACTCTGAACACCTGGCTGCTGGCTTGGCCTCTCAGTTCCGAGATTCTAGACAGCAGCTCCTGGCTGAGGCCTTGGATTAAAACTCAGGAACCTGAAAGTCTGCATTAAGCCTTGACCATGCTCACATGCCCCTTCTCCTGTCTCTCCTCCACCTGGGACTCCCTTAGCTGCCAAAAGCCCGCTGAGGTTTGTGCTCTCTCAGACGCTAACATTAAGTGGAAATGTGCTTTATTCACTTGCAATGCCCAGGGTCCCCCATCTGGAGGCCTGGCCTGCAACAGGTTACCTGTGGGCAGAGCAGAGCTGTCCTGGCCCCCATCCCTGCCTCCCGGCCCACAGGATCCTCACAAGACTGAACTACCGAGGGAGTGACTGCCTGAAGGCCAGGCCTGGGCACCGCCCGGCGCCAGATGCAGAGGAGCAGCGAGGTTCGGTTGCCGGGTGGCCGCGCAGGGCCTCCGCCCTCAGCAGCAGTTGCAGGTGCCGGTGTGCACGCGGAGGATGCCCCGGCTGTGCAGGTGCAGGAAGTTGAAGATCTCGGAGGGCATGGCGTGGAAGCCCGGGCGGGGCTTGACATTGTCGTAGTAGTGGTGGGTGATGTAGAGCCCCGAGGGGTTCATGGGGAAGGCCCAGAAGCCGAACAGGTGCACCTCCTCGCAGAGCTCCAGCGCGGCGGTGACCAGGATGAGGCCGGTGCTGATGCGCTTGGCGCGCACCCCCAGGCTGAGCCAGTAGCGCGACACGTTGACCAGGTACTGCGGGTGGAAGTAGTAGACGGCCTGCGGCGACTGGAAGTCGTCCAGCACGTACTTGACGCGGATGGACACGTCGGTGTTGCGCGTGTTGTAGAAGGCGGGCAGCAGCACCGACGCGTTCTCGTACACCTGCAGCACGCGGTAGAAGGGCCGCCGCCACTTCTCCAGCTTGTGGAACCTGCCCAGGGCGCAGCGAGAGTCAGACAGCCGGCTCCCCGTCCAGCGCCCTGGGGCCCCTCGCCGCCCCCACAGGGCCACCCCTGCCCCTTCATCTCGGTCGCCCCCGCAGATAAATGTGCAGTCCTCCTGGGGACAGCTGTGTTTTTGTAAGTGGGTGCAGGAAAGGACAATGTGGACCCCAAACGGCAAACATGTAGTGTGTGGCTGCAGGGGGAGGGCAATGCGCAACCTAATTGGGTGAGGGCGCCCCCTGGTGGACGCAGAGGGGCAGTGGCCAGGAGTGGGAGCTTTCCCCAGGGCCCTTGGTCCTGCACCTGTACTGTCTTCTCCAGTCCCCAATAAGGTCACTAAAAGCAGCTCTGTCTCCCAGCCCCTCCTTCCTGTAGCCCCTCCCTCACTTTCCTTTACATGAAACTGCTCTGGGTTGGCTCATCTCACACCTGTCTGAACGCTCCTCGCCTTGCAGATGCTGTGTGTGCCCCTGGGCAGCTGAACTGAGCCCCACTCCCGACCCCCACCCCATTGGCCTTCATCTGCCTGCAGGTGGGCAGTTTAACACATTAAACCCACTCCCTCCCTCAAGTCTCCCCAACAGACTCCAGGAGGGAGTTAAGGGCAGGTGAGATCCTTGCGTGAGGCTTTGCCCCAGTACCGCCTGGACACCAGCCTGCCCCATCACACCCTGGAGAGCCCTCTGACCCACCCCTTGGTGAAGACACTGGAAGGTCACATACATAATTTTAAGCATTCTAGTAAGCACATTTAAATAAATAGAAAGAAGTAGATGAAAATCATTTTTATCTTTTACTTAAAGCCAGTAGACTCAAAATACTATCATGTCACATGTAATCAGTATAAAAAATTAATGTTCCTTTTTTAATATTAAATCTTTGAAATGAGGTATATGTTTGATGCTTACAGAATGCAAGGAATGCAAATGGCACACTCAGCCTGGACTAGCCACATTTCCAGTACCCACAGCACACAACACTAATGGCACCCACATTGGGCAGCACAGGTCAAGAAAGAGGGTTACTGACCTCTCTGTGATGATGCTGGGGTTCACAGTGACCACATCAGTCTTCACCCCCACGTCCATGGTGTACTTCTCTGAAATGGGGGGTAGGTTGCACCTGCAGAGGAGACCAGGCAGCACAACCACATGTGCTCAGTTATTCCAGATGGAGCTGGGGCACAGGCGCAGGGAAGCAAGGGACGGTGGTCATCTATATGGGCCAAGGAAGCCAGAGGTGACCAGGTGAGTAAACCTCTGTGGCCAGGTGATAAGATAGTGGGCCTCCCATCAGGCTCTGGGACAGCCACAGGCGTAACCCCAGATTCAGAGACAGAGAAAGATACTAGAAGATGCTCTGCTGTGGGCTTTGAAGGGACCCTGAGTTAAGGAATGCAAATGGCCTCTAGGATCTGGAAAAGGCAAGGAAACAGATTCTCCCCCTAGGACCCCCAGCTGCAGCTCTGTGACCCATCCATTTTAGTGTAGTGACATGCATTTTGGGCTTCTGACCTCCAAAACTAAAAAATAATAAGTTCGTGCTGTGGCAATCTACTAGGTCATGCTAATCTGCTACGGTGGCATTAGAAAAGCAACACAGCCTTTAAACGAGCAAAAGCTTGTTTATGTCCTCAAGACAGGGAGGCTAAGAGGAGGCAGGGGAAGGAACTACATCTGCCTGCAATGGCTTTGAGAGCATTTGGTGCCCAGAATAGTGATTGGTTGACAGATATTTGCTTAATTGCTTTACTTCCTACTTACGTATCTGGTACAAACATTCTGTGTCGGCAACAAATATTACAAAAGAAATGAGTAAATTGTAATTTATAAAAAAAGATGTTAACTGGGTCAATGTTGAGGTTGCAAGCAATGTGACACAAGCACCACCTGTGCAAAGTCCCTGTGGTGGGAAGAAGCATAGAGCATCAGGGAGTGATTGAATCCTGGTGACTGAAGCACAGAGCAAGGTATGAGCTGAAGGCAGGGAGGAAGCAAGGAGCTACACCATGAGGTGCCTGTGCTCCACAGTCTCAGGCAACTGAGGCAAGAAACTGTTCTTTTGGATTCACCAGATCACTTTAGCAGAAACACACGAAGTGCTTTACAAATGTCACCTGCTTTAACTCTAGTGGCCTGAAGAGGGAGATATTTTGTATTACTTTTCCCCATTCTGCAGATGAGAAGAGGAAGGTCCTGAGTAGCATGCCCAACATTACAGAGCTTAGTAAGTGGCAGAACCAAGATTCGAAGTCAGGTAGCCTGGCTGAAAGCCCTAGCTCCTGCCCCTTCACCTGCCCTGCCTAGGCGAGCAGAGGGCTGAGAATATGCTGGCACGACAAGTTAGCCGTCCTTGCTCTGCCAATCCACTGGCAACTGCCAAGACTGACCCTAGGGGACCAGTGACCCAGGCACAGCCAGCTTCTGTGGTTCTGTGGTTAGGCAGGCATCTGTGGTTCTGGGTCTGGCTCCACGATGTGCTCCACCTGGCCTCAGCCTCACTCCCAGGGTGCCATCTGCCTGTTCCTCCCGAACGATCCTTCCCACTATTCTTGCTGGCAGAGATGGACCAGGACCCTCCCTAGTAATATGCACACTGGGGGGTAGGGGGTTGAAATAGTCTTGGCCCATCTCCTGATGAGTTTAATGGGGGAAATTTCAAGAAGTCATGTGCAGGCCCCCTGAACCTTCCACTCATGCTGGGTCAGTTTCCACCTACTCACTCTAGAAGAAGCAGCCAGACACCTTTCCAGGGGTCACCCAGGCCAGCCTGGGCATGAAGGGCAAGTTCAACCCATCCCCACCAGGCCTGAGTGGCCCAGTGAGATAGCAGATCCACCATCACACGACCCCACTGCACTCTCAACCCGGGACTCTTTGCTTCATGCTTTTCTTTTCAACCCATCTTCCTCACTCAAGCAAAGACACAGAAGGGAGCAGCACATAAGGAAGAAGAAATCGAAGGAACCGTTTCTAGCTTGGTTAAGGCCAGGGTGCAGCTGATATCGGTGTTAGCCACAACTGCCCTGGTTCCCAGCAGTGCTTCAGGAGGCTAGAACCCCGTCAGGGAGGCGGCTGCCCAGAGAACCTCGCCGACAGATCTGCAGGCCCCTCGAGTCCCCAGCATCCTCAGATCCGTGCTGCCGCTTGCTCCCACTCTGCAGATGTGGACACTGAGGACCTGAGAGGTTCAACCACTTGCCCACAGGGCAGGGCTAGAGAGGAAGGGGTATCGCAGAGCAGCAGGGTCCATGGGATGGGAGTGGGGATTAATTCATCAAACAAAAGGCAACCCTAGCGCACTGAAGGGGGGCCTCCGAGGGACGCACGGAGCAGGCGGGCAGCACGTGCAGATCCAGGTGATTCTTTTTACCTGAAGACAAAGTCAGCACTGTTGATCTCCCTCCCGCAGCGGCTGTTCTTAAGGATGCCTCCGTTACCCACCACGGCACACTTCTTAAACTGGGACCGGTAGTACGGCATGTCCTGGGGGAGGCAGGGAAACAGCCGTCAGGGCCATGCCTGCCTTCCCCTGGGTGCCCTGTGCCCACGTCCACCTCTACCAGCTCGCGGCCCCACGCCAGGCTTGGAGGGAGTGTAGGGGCAGCGGAGTGGGCACTCCACTGTGCAGTTGAGAGGAAAGCTCAAGAAGCATGTTCTCAGATCCATGGGCCACTAAAAATGAGCTGGAATGGGACGCCTCTCCATTCAGTCTTTCTCGTAAGCCGTAAGATGCCTCCAGTTTCCAGAGAGAAGAGAGAGCAGAGCTAACAGCAGCCCTGGACGGAAGCTTTGGTGTTCCCAATGTCCGGAAGCTTTATGACTTGGGTATACATACATTTTCCCATGGCTCATGCAGCTGTTCTGGGAGATGATGGCAGCAGAGATGGTACAGGGGACCCTGGCTGGGGACAAGGGCACCAAATCCGGTCCTCACCCCTTTCAGCTCAGAGTGAGTTGCAGACTCTCCCTCTGCTCTGCAGGGAAGATACAGATGTGGGGCAGGAAGGTCATGCCATCCAGGCCAGATGCCAGGACTTGGCAGGAGCAGGGATCAAGGGGTGGGCAAGAGAGGCCACATTAAAGGGGAGCAATGAGAAGCTGGGACACCTGGGGTCTCTGCAAAGAAGGAACCTTGAGCCAGGGGAGCCCAGGCCTTACCCTGAGTGATGATGGCCTGATAAAATGCTGCCAGTGGCCAGCGCTTTGACTTGTCACACCTCGGGTGGCAGGGTTGTCTTAGTCTGGGCACTGGCTGCCCACAAAGGCTCCCTGGGTGAACTTTCCAGGGACACAGGCAAGTTGGCAGGAAAGGCAAACACTCGCCCAAGAGGGAGGAGACGTGCTCCTCCTCTGGGCCACAATCCCCTCCTGGGCAACCTGATACCAGGCGGAGCTGGGCGACCACGTGATGCAAGGCGGGTGCACAGACCTGGGGTCAAGGGTGGGTGACACATCCCTCTTTGCCCAGGAGCAGGGACAGTGCCCAGAATGTGGACTCTCACTCATAAGCACACAGGCCTGGACACCCTCATCAAAGGACACAAATTTCATCCTGACTTTGCCCCATAACGAAGTGCGGGGACACTGGACAAGTTTCTTACACTCTCAGACACTCAGTTTTGTAAAAGTTGCTACAAATTAAAATTTTGTAGTTTGTAAAATCAAGAGTATAATGTGCATGTCATGCGATTCAATGAGATGATGCAAAGCAGATCCTCTTGACACTCCCGACCCTTGTCACGGGGGCCGACCTGGGCACTGGAAGATGCTTAGCGTCTTCCTGGCCTCACCTCATGAGATGTCAAGAGCATCCCCCCACCCCCGCAGTATGTCTGCAGACACTGCGAAATGTCCCCAGTGTCCTTGATGAGACCTGCCGGTGTGCATGCAAAGCCCAGTGCGCCACTAGGCCCAGAGGTCCCCAGGGGAGCCGGTTGCTGTTACTGGGTGGCCCTAAGGCCCCTTTCATTTCTGAGCCTGCAACTAGTCCTCCCATCTCCCACACCACCAGCTGGCCTGCATGAGTGGTCTAGTCAGCCCCCAGGCACCCAGTGGTTCTAACTGCCAGACGGTGTCATGGGGAATCACACAGAACGGGATTGTCAGGAATTAGGCTAATCAGAAGGAGACGCTGCATAAACTGTCCTTGTCATAGTCCATTTTCCCTGGAGGGACAGGCCTAGGGAGCCAGTGGGGGGAGGTAAGGGTCTCACAGCCAGAGGGGAAGATGCTATTTGACAGCTGAGTGGGTGAGTGAGGGAAGCAAACTTGCTTTGGAGAGAGCATCAAAGGTTTTTATTTTTTATGTCCATGTTTCCCAAACTTCTGTAAGTCAAAAACTTCCTGCGATGCTTTCTGAAAATAGAAATTCCTGGGCTCCATCCCAGGCCCACAGAGTAAGAATCTCCAAGGTGGGGGTAGGAGACCAAGAAGTTGAATTTTTTCATAAATCCAAAGAAATATTCACCTTTATGGTAGGTTGGGACCTACTTCTAGAACACATGCTTGCACTGGGGGAAGGGCGTGAGGGGAGCAAACTGTAAGCCGCAGGCTACCTCTGACCCACCACCTATTTCTGGATGGCCCTCCAGTTAAGAAAGGATTTTATAATTTTAAGTGGTTAAAGAAAAAAAAAAAAGAATACATGTGGCATGTAAAAAATTACATAAAATTCAAATGTCAGGGTCTACTAGGGCTGAAGTGGCATATGAACACGGCCCCACTTGTGTGTTAGCTCCTGTCTGGCTGTTTTTGTGCTAGAATGAGAGTGGTGAGGGATTGGGACAGGCACCATTCGGCCTGCAAAGCCTGAAACATTTGCTATCTGGCCCTTTGCTGAGAACATCTAGCAACCCCTGCTATAACCCCCTGGACCCTCCTTGGACCCGGATGTCATAACCGAGCTGGTGTCACCCACTGCGGTGCCTACATGAGATGCAAGTTCACCTGCTGCCTCGGGTTCCAGGCTTTGCAAGCCCCCCCTTGAGAAGATGGCTCACACCCCATCATCCTCGCTGTGATGTGATGGGCCTCTGACACCTGTCCACCTGCAGCCCTTCCCCAGTGTCCCCCCATCCCTATCCCAGCGATTGATCGTACCAACACACCCTGAATTGACAGAAGGCAGGGAACCCCAGGTTTTGTTTTACTAGTATTTCCCCCAAATCAGGGCAGGCAAGGCCCTCAGATTTCATCCAGAAAGACCTGAGCGCGCCTCCTCGCTGCATTTCTACAAACTGGACCCGCTGAGTCTGCTCTGGGCTCGGCACTCCCCAGGAGGCGGTTACGAACATGTCCATCCAGGGAAGCTTCCTCCTTTTCAGACAGTAACCATCGGATCAGCTGAAAATGCAGGCTCCAGGCCCCCCTCTGAAGCCTGATGCAGCAAGAGTCTGGGATTCTCCCCTCATGGACCACTCATTCTGTGGTTCGCCCATGACGGGGGGGCAGAGGGGGGTGGGGCGGGGGGCATGCAGGCCCTGAATGAACAGCTTACCCCGGCCTTCTTTATGTGAAAGAAAAAAAAAAAAACCTATATCTTAAGTCTCTGAGACTTTAAATTTTCTATTTTAAGCAGCTAAACCTATTTCTAGTCTAAACGTCAGGGTTACAGATAAGGAGACTGAGACTTTGAAAGACACAGTGACCACCCAGGTCATCCAGTGCGCAAGCAGTCTCAGCGCCTTGCTTTGCCTTGGCTTGTGAGCTCTTGTGCACACACCTGTGCAGATGTTTTGGGGGCACAAACGCTTGGCCACGCTCTCTCATACCTTCAGGATATTCTCTGCAGAGCAATCCAGTAACATTTTACAACCACTTCCTTGCCTAAAGTCACACAAACCATAGCCAGGCGGCATTCATTGTAGGACAGAGAACGGCCAGCTAGGACCAGGACGGCTGGGCACTGAGGGCAGAGTGAATGATGGGCATGGCCACAGCCACCCTGAGTTGGCCTCACTGCCCCCACCCCCACTCGAAGCAGCACCTTGGGGAACATGCGGAAGATCTCCTGGTTGATGTGGTAGATGCCGCTGGTGTCCACCTCATACTTGAGCTTCGTCCCCAGGGGAGTGTTCTTCTGGGTGGTGAAGAGAAAGGAGGGGGCGTTGCAGCACCTGGACAGAGTAGACCTGTGGGCAGGAGACAGACAGGTGCAGGTGAGCAGAGGCCTGCACCGTCCTCTCCCACCAGCCCTCCCACCTGCAGAGGCTGCTCAGGCTGCCCCTCCCCCTGTATCACTCCCCCCAGTGCCCAGGGTCCTCCCACCTCCCCAGGCCCTGGCTTTTCAGGATTAGGCCAGGTTTCGCCACCAGCTGCCCCAGCCCCAGGGACCACACTAGCCTCCGAAGGCCTGGAGTCCAGACGGGGTGTTGTCCACTTCATGACCAGCCAATCCCCTCCTGCCTGAAAGAAATCCCCTGGCAGCAGGAGCCCCGCCTGGCTGGCTCCTGCATGATGTTGGCCAGCAGGTTGGCTAACTGTGAATAAGTCCTGCCTCCTTCGGGCTTCCCTCAAGATCTGCTAAGTGTTCCATCCACAGCTTTGGGAGAACAGGTGACCCACATGGCACAGCAGACCTCTTTCTGACTTGCCCGCTGTATTTCAATAGATTTGCCTGCTCTGCTCCCCACTCTGTCTCTGGTGAATCCTCTCACCCCTCCCCCTCACACTTCTGGCCTGTACCCCAGTTCTTGTATGCATAAATAAATAAATCTTTAAAAAAGAAAGAAAGGAGGGAAGGGGAGGGGAGGGGAGGGAAGAGAAGGAGTTTGTGGAATGAACTTTCTGGAAAGTTCACTCCCGAGGTCAGGATAGAGACTTGGGTCATTAACCTGTGTCAGACCCGGATTCTGGTTCCTGCTCTGCCCACCAACTATGGGGCTCCCCTAGTTCTCTTCCTCTCTCCGGCCTCAGTTTCCTGATCTGCACGATGCAGTCTTGACTCTGCTACCTCTGACCTCTGTAATTCTGTGATTCCAGTTTGCCAAAGCCAGGAAGGTTATGCAAATTATTTTTAATGACTTTATCTCTTGCAGGAACTTGGCTGAGGAGTTCAGCTGATAGCTGGACATAGGGAGAAGTCTTTCCTGTGAGGGTTAGGCTTCAGAACATGACTGAGGCTTCTCAGAGGAAAGGGTCAAGACCTCGCCAGGCAAGGACCGTGGGTCAGCATTATAAACCAGCGTCTGGTCCATTTAGCTTTGCTGGTCCAGAAACTCAGAGTCCTCAGTCCCCCAGAGAACACCCATTGAGAGTGTTCAACTCATACTAGCCAAACTCACAAGTGACTGATACATAAACCCGAATGCCAATGTGTCTATTTGTGGGTGGCAGGGCTGGGAGAGACCTCAGTTACAGGATTCCTTTCCGAATACTCAAGTCTGTCTTCCCCATCACACCCTATTTCGCTTTACAATGTTCCTGTGACTCCAAATCTCATCCTTGTTCAATGAGCTTGTAATGAGAACAAAGGGGGATGATCAATCAGGGGACCTTGAAAATATTTTCTTTCAAAGCATGGCAAGACCTGATGTCACTTCCCTTTCCCACACCTGAAACCACTCCTTTCAACCCCCAAAAAGGTCTCAGAGACTCCCCCCCTGGATAGTGCTGTCTGATCCCTGTTAACACCTCCCACACTTACCCGGTGTTTTTCTTGCCACACATCTTCCTGTTACTTTGTTATGTCCTTAGATGTAAGAACACTGCCAAAGTTCTAATGAGCCTTCTCCCCAGCGCTCAGGCAGACAACATGCTACTGTATCTCCATGACCTCATCTAAGCTGAGTGTTAATCAGCACAGTGTGCTCTGGCCCCGCCTGCCTCACGGGCCTCTGCTTGGGCAGAGCTCAGGGGTTGCACTTGCAGAACAGACCTGAACCTGCTCTCCCCTCTTTCTGCATTTTATTCAAGTTCACATTCTGCTTTTATGATAGAAGGGTCTCTGCAAACTATTGCTGGGTCTTAGTTGCATTTCTGTAGTCACTAAGAGGCTGCTGGCACTTACTCTTGGGGGAGGGGGGCGGTCATCACTTTAAACATCCACATTTCTAAAAATGTGCCACTGAAAACTACACTTGGGTCTTGCAGGATAGGAAGACCTGAATAAGGGCCACACATGCAGAGGGCAGAGAGGGCAGAGGATAGCTACTTGAACTGGTTGGCTTCAGAGATATTCATCGCCCATTTGCACATCTGCAGGCTCCTCCATCTGTCAAACAGCTCCGACTGCTTCACCCTTTGGAAAGAGAAGAGAGCAGAGGACCATGCTAGCCAGCACTATCATTCCCAGACACGTCACCTTCCTGTTCCTCCACATACCAAACCCTAGCCCTTTTATTAGCAGTATTTTCTTTTTTTCTGTATTCTTCATGCTCTGGCACCTGGGACCTTGCTAATTCCTAGAAAGAGAAAATGACTCTCTTGTAGCACACCTTTCATATGCAAACCAATCAATCCAGACTCTCTGCCCTCGACCACCTCCTTTAAGGACAATTTCACGCACCTGATCATCCCAGGGTCAGGTATCAGACAACAAGGGGGCAGTCCCTATGACCCAGGGTCTGCTGAAATGATGCAAATCAGCCAACCCTATACCTGTCTCTCCTGCCTTAACCATTCCTCCTGCCATCAGGGCCCTAACACCTGCTTCCCCACATTCCCTGTGCTTGCATCCCCATGTGGCCCTGCATGATGTGCCTCAGCTCCTGTTGCTAGGGTTCTGCAAATATGAGAACGTCTTACTTTTGATGATCATTTCTGTGTCTGTGTCTAACCATACCTGATTAAGACAAATCCTGGGCACATTCCCTCATGAGGGAAACTCCAAGGGCCGGTACAGCTTTCCCAGGAACACCTGCCTATAGAGGGCATTCGTCTGCTTTCCTAACAGAATGTCTATGAGCCACCCCCACTGTGCTCAGCACACAGTAGGCCTCACTCTAGTGGGCATGACTTCTCTTTCTCCTTTCTCAAGGGCAGAGCACAATTTCAAAACGACTGAAAGGAAGAGATGGGAAACTTGTCTTTTGTCTGAACAGCCACCTGTAAGGCTTTGTGCCAGGTGGAGTTTAAACAGCTCAGCTTGTGCTCTGCTAAAGTGCTCTCTGGAGAGGAACTGTCTAAATCATGCAGGATTCTCCCTTTGACTCAAAACAACAAAAAGAATTAGATTTTAAGTTACACATTTACATTTGCATATTTCTAATTTTGTATATCCACATTCATCTCAATATTGTATCCCCAGCCTGGGGGACAATATTTACTCAGTTGCCAGTAATGAATAAATGAACCAAAGACACAAATGCCCACAAACACAGTGCAATATACACATCAACCTCAGTTAGTCACTCACTTCCCTTCTTTTCATCATCTTGTCTCTTTCAGACAGTGCCTGACCCCAAGGACACAAGCCACACCCCCAAGTCCTCTCTCCCACATGCAAGCACGCACATGTCAGCAACCCTCTTACTTTTCCCCCCGCTCCTGATGACTTCTTTCCCATGCACCTTCTCCAGGTCCTTTCTGCTTTCCCTTAAGCTTTGGTTTTGAGGGTGATTCTCTTGTTCTGCAGAAATGCTTAGAATTCTCTAGGATCTCAGTCTCCCTAAAATTCTCAGCCACTCACTCTTTCATTCTGGACATATGACCTGAAGTACAACTTGGTGCCTGATGTTAATAGTTGTGTGTTACAAAGTTAAAAAAGTGTTAAGAGAGTAAATCTCACATTAAGTATCCATACAACAATTTTTTAATGAAACAGAGTAGTAAGTGAGAGGAAGGAAAATGAAGTAAGGTAAAGGGATCAGAAAGTGACTGTTTCAAATGAGTTGATCGGGGAAGGTTTCCCTGCAGAGGAGAAATTTATGCAAAAACCTGAAATGACACAGGAGTGAGCCACACAGACATCTGGGGAAAGAGTGTTTCAGGCAGAAAAAAGAGTAAGTACAAAGGCCCTGGGGCAGGAAGCTGCTTAACATTTTTAAAGAGCTAGAGGGAGCCCCTCCTTTCATCCTGACCCCTCATTTCTAGTTTTCCCAAACCTCCCACAGCCCTCTGACCTCGCAGGCTCATGTGACATTGGAGGAGAGGTGCCATGACACAGTGCACCCTGGCTCACCCACTGCTTCCCTTCCCTGCTCCCTATCCCCACTACCCACAGAACTCTAGTGCCAGACACACAGCCCTGGCAGCACAAATGGCTGGGGTCTCAAGGTCAAGTGTTACCAGAGTCTGGCCCCACTGAAAGCCTTGTCACACTCTGGACCAAGGTCAGGGCTTGAATCCTGGCTCCATCCACAACTTGCAATGTGACCTCAGACAAGTCATGTCATCTCTTGGAGGCTCAGCTGCTTTAGGAAGACTGATGGAACTTAACAACCTGTGCCCTGCCAATCTCAAAGATTATCAAGAAAATCAAATAGAGACAATATGTATAAAATATTTTACAAATTGCTTTACAAATGCAGAGATCATCTTCATTTTAAAGATGAAAACCTAGTCCCAGACACATGTCCTTTTTCTCCCAAGATACCACTAACATTCCAGAAGAGGAATAAAAACACATAAGCCTACCAGGAGAATAAGGGGAGAGGTATCTGTTGATATAAAAAGGAATTTAACAGTGTGTGGAAGGAGGAGGGATGGCACAACCCAGGGATAGGACCCATCTGCATGGAAAACTTTAAAGGAAGATGGAGGGTAGAGAAGGGGCATGGTTAAAAATGGGTATCAATTGTGAGTCCATATCCAAGACCACCAATCCCATCCCCAAGCAGCCATATTTAATGTCCAAAGAGGACGGAGGATGAAATTAGATCGCCAGTTCCTGCCTTAAAAAAAAAAAAAAGATGTCATTCCAAGTGCAAAGACATGGGCCTTCTAGCAGCAAAAAGACCAGCAGGGTCTTGAACAACTACCCTCAAAGAAGGCCTATTCTCAGAACAAAACTCCTCTCAGCTTTCCACTGTATCAAATATAAATATGGAAAATCAGGATCACCTGGTCAACCTAAAGAAAAAGACCAAGATAACCACAAAGAAAACTACTGGAGGCACAAAGTAGAATTTAAAAATTGTCTACTTACTGTGCCAGAGATATTCAAGAAGTTATGGAATTCCTTAAAATAAGAACAGATTGCTCAGAGAACCAAGAAAGAGTGTGGTGGGGGCCACAGTGGAGGGGGAAGGGGGAAGTAAAGTCAGGGAAGATAAGTCAAGGAATTTCCTCAGAAAGTAGAAGCAAAAGGCAAAGAGATGTAGAAGATGAGACTGTGCTGAAGGAGCTATCCAGGAGGTCTAGCGTGCAACGCTTAGAGGAACTAGAAAGAGGAACTGGAATAAAACAGAGGAAGGAAATATAAAGAAGTTCAAAAGAAAAGTCTAGAGTTTGGACAAAAGCCCCAAATTAAGACATGCCTCTGGGTATGCGTAGCCTAAGGTACCTAAGGACCTTTCAGAACTGTCATGATGTGAAAAGACTCCAGAGAGAGAAACCAGGTCACCCCCAAAGGAGCGACTAAAATCATGTTCATATAGCCGAGGATGCCGCAGGATGCTGAGAAGCTCTCCAGCAATCTGAGGGGAAATGATTTTCACCTAAAATACAAAAGTAGCAATCAAATCTAAGGGAAGAATTAAGCCAGTCAGACACAGAGAGGGACTCAAAACCTTACCTCCCACCTACCATTTCTTAGGAATTTATTTAAGATGGGTGGAAGCAAATGAAGGAATAAACCAAGAAAGAAATAATTAGTCCTAAGCAAAGAGGAATCCAACCTCTGGAGGCAGAAACAGGGGACGGGCCAGTGAGGTGGCCTAGACAGAAGAAATTTTAAGCCGATAGGTAAAGACTGGCCCCAAGCCCTGTTTGAACAGGTGGACTAAATCATGGACTGGCAAGCTCTGTCCAAACAATTTGGCCCACAACGTTGACCATAAGGTGCCAGGGAGGCAAAATGTGTTAGGTCCTAACTAATGATTATCCCACAATTTCCTGGGGGGGGAAGGCCACAAGCCCACATTCGCACTTAGACTGTAACCCATCTGCATGTGTCCAGGCATAGCCCAGTGCAGAGCATGCCAGGAACAAGCTGCTCTCCTCCCCACCTGAAGAAATTACTCTGTAAATGTCTCCTCCTAACTGACTTAGAGGAGCCAGGCTAAAATCTCCATTCCAGCCCTGGTTTCCACATGCATGAATCTCTCATAAAGCCTTGCCTGGATCAACAACACTTAGTGTTTTCGAATGAATTCTTTCCCTAGAGGGCAAAGGACTCACTCTTTTGGGTGAGGGGCTGCAACGCCAGAAAAACAGCACACGGGTCACCAAGAAAGCAGGAAAATAGGGAATTAGGACAAAGAGTTCAATGGGGGAAAGATGTCTAGAAGCTCCTGAAAAACAGGAAAAATTAATGCAGCAAAAAAGAGGATCACTATTTTCTGATCTTCAAATTTTAGAGTCAACCTATACAGAGAAAACTCCAAAGAGCCTTCAGATGGTTACAAATACAACATACGTGTTATCAGTCTTCACATTTAAAAGTAAACTCACAGAATACTGAAGCCAGACATCAGAACTAAAAGTTGGGGCAATTCTAAGAGTAGCTTCATCTTACAAAATAAAGGATCAAGAGATATTGTCAATATTTGGAAGAACAAGAAATAAGCCACTCAGGCAATCTATAAATAGGACTAAACATAGCAACAACCCTCCCCAAGAGAAAGGGGAGGAGCTGGGTGTGGTGTAAAGAGCCCAACCCCCACCCATCCTGCAAGACACCAGGGCACGCTACAAAAGTGGTAAGTAGAGAAATAACAGCGCTGGGGGACTGCTGAGAGGGATGGGGTAATTGTCAGAAGAAACAGCTAAGAGTCAAAAGGAGCAGGGCATGAAGCAAGAGACAGGCCCTTTTTATTATTGTGGAAAAAAAAATCTAAAAACCCTATTTAAATGTGGTCAGGAGGCTGGGAGAGAGTGCCTGCACGTGGGTCACCAAAACACTAAGACCTCAACATGCCTTGCATCTCCCAAAGGGAGTGATATTGCTTCCCCACCCCAGGGAAAGGAAATTCTGCAGAGGTTAGACAGGGGGTGTGGGCTTTTAATGGGAACCAGCACTTGAGCCTCACCAGTCTCACTCACTGTCCAGTTTGCCTTTCTCATTGTTTCTGAATAAACCCTCAGGTCTCACCCACATCCTGCTTCCACTCATCCTATTAACAAGTGTACCCCGAGCCTATACAGGGTCAGACTCAGGACTCAGAGATGCCTGGGCACAAAGGGGCTACCAGTAGGGAGACCTGGTCTCAGTGCTGGACTCAGTGTGGGCTTCTCCACCCCGAAAAGATGGGGAAGGGACAGCACATGAAGCCCTTGGACAGGGGTCGCAGGCTCACCCCTCAGCTGGATATGAGCACAGGCAACAACTGATTTGAAAGGAAGACACTCTGCGATGACTAAAACGAAGCAGAATCATTTTTACAAGTATCAGGGACAATGCACTTTCGTCTCAAATCATCACAGTGTAACCCCTCATGTATCTGACACTGTCAGGGAATGAGGCATTTTCCATGTGGGAATTTTCCGCTGACTGATCTTTCCCATTGATTTGAGCAATTTTGGATCAGCATCATTGTCGGATGAATCACGCACCTCCGATCTCCTCAGCCAGAATGCCAGCTGACATCCCTGTGACTGAGGGGCTCGGAGCACATCCGTCCAGCCCCCAAGATTCGCAGATGGAGATTTAACCTTTTCCCAATGACTCAGGGTCTCTGCAAGTGCTGCTCATGTTTGGGCTGTGGCACAGCAAGGCCCGTGCGTGCCCGGGTGGCATCAGAACCACTCGGTCAGAAACCGACCTCTGGGCACTCTGATTCCAGCCCCGAGGGCCTGTGACTCTCACCTGAGGACTCAGGGAGGAGCCACTGAGCTCACTATCCCCAGTGGCCCTAGGCTGGCACGGTGACACCCCATGAACAGCCCTACCTTTCCTCTCCCAGTGCCACCAGTGTCCAGACACCCAAAGGGCGACTGCCATGGAAGAGATGGGGCCAACCAGATCCAGAGGTCAGAGAAGATGGCCGCCTAGCTCAGAGGCCCCCAAGAGGGCGCCCAAGGGCAGAGAAGAGAACCAGAGCCAGACACAGAGAGCAGCAGATGCCACAAAAGGAGCCCATGACGAGCCAAGGGAAGGACACAGGTCATGCGGGAACATCACATACACATGCTTAGCTGCAAAGCAAGGACCCGGGCAACTTCTAAGCTGGCCCCTAAGCAGAAGCTGTGACAGGGACTATGGGCTGGTCTGTGTCTCCCTCCAAGCTCGTGTGTCAAAGTCCTAATCCCACCATATCTCAGAATGTGATTGTGTTTGGAGATCAGCTCGTTCAAGAGGCAGTTAACTTAAAATGACAACAAGAGGGTGAGCACTAGTCCAATGTGACTGATACCCATGTAAGAGGAAATTAGGACACAGAGGAAGAAAGTGACTCTTGGAGTCCAAGGACAGAAGCCTCAGAGGAAAACAGCCCTGTCAACACCTCCAGCTCACCGAGTCTCCACAATTGTGAGAAAATAAAGTTCTGTTGCTTAAGCTCCCCGGTCTGTGGTACTTTGTTATGGCAGCCCCAGCAGACTAATAAGGCACTAATCCTAGCATGTGGAGGGGGGAATAAACAGCCGGGGATCCATTTATGGAGTTTCTCAGACCTCCCTGTCAAGACCTTGAAGTAATGATGAAGAAACCATCTGTGCTTTATCATTTGAAAAATTAATTATTTACTCTTTGAAAACTCAAAGGTATGCTCTCAGCGAGAGTGTGTTTGCTTTCCACTGTGAAACATTTAAGGACCTAGGATCTTTGAAATCTGAGAAAAGGTAAAGGCTCTGTGCTTATGAGCTTATGAATTCGAACTTGACTCCTGACTGAAGTCTGGACGGCCATTTATGTCACTAAATCACAACACCATTCACATCACACCACCACCACCTGCTTAAAATCTCCCCACAGCACCCATCACCCTCTGATAAAGATAACATCTAAATCCTGCCCTGCAGGCCCGTGAGCTCCAGCCCCTGCCTGCTCCTCTGGCAGCATGGCTTCCACCTCCCCCCTCATGCTGGCATGCAAGCTGCCCTGACCCTTCAGAGCCTGAGACACAGCAGGCTCCCTCCTGGCACAGGGCCTTTGCACAAGCTGTTTCTTGGATCTGGAATCCTGTTGGCTCAGTTAACTCTATCACCTTCCACAGCGTGTGCTCATCCAGGAACTGAGTGGGGTTGATAAGAAGGTGAGCTTCCTCCCGTGTTTACCTCTAGAGAGGGTACAGAAGCCCCCTGGTTCGTAAGGCACTGTAAACAGCACAGCTAATCTAGATGACATGGGTCTAAACCTTGGAACTCTCCCGCAGCTACCAAATTCATGGAGTCTGAATGACAGTCCAGAAAAGTTGTTGCTGCTGGTTCCAGAAAATAAATGAAGGGGAGAGAGGAAGGGAGGAAGATACATGAAAACTTACTGAGCGCTTATATGTGTGCCACTATGGAAGCGGCCAGGCCATCTCCAGCAACCCTTCAAGAAGAGGCAATATTGTCCCCATTTTATACATAAAGAAAGGGTCAGAGAGGTTAAATAATTTGTATAAAGATGCAGAGCTGGGAAAGTCCAGAGTCAGACCTGGATCCCAGGTCTGCCTGAAGCCAAGATCCATGCTCTTTCTAGAATCCACTACCTGGAAGTTATGTCAAACATCTAAAGAAGACATAGACACAGCTCCTGTCTGGGCCATTGACGGCAGCTGGGCTCATGTCAGAGGGCCTGGACCCCACGAGAGCACCCACACTTTCTGAACAAACCAGATTTCTTCCATATCTACATGTAAGTTTTCAAATATAAATATACATATATATATCCCATCATGATTAACACCGCACAAATTCCCCTGAGCAGGTCTGCTGAAGTCATGGGAATCCTATGCGGGGATGCTGGGGCACACCCACACTGAAGTGCTCAGCAGCGAATGAGTTGCTCCTTCTGTAGGTCGTGAAAGAGCTACATGTGATGCAGTGATGACTTTCAGGTATGGGGGGTGCACAGTTCTTTGGCCAAAGACTAGCTTCTGACAGGGGCTCATGGCACACACTGCCATGAGAAAGGGAGTCAGGGCTGTGAGCAGGGCAATGTTCCCTGCACATCTTTTGGCACCACTTGAATGTTGTCTCATTTAAATAATAAAAAAGAAATATTTTAATGAATGTAAAATGTTTCAAACACAATAGCAAGCGGCCACTCTCAGCCCTGCAGCGTGAGTACTGGATTTCAGGTGAGACGCTCATGTATCCTCTTCAGTTTCTATGCAGAACAGCCCAGTGATGGTAATCGCAGAGACCAGTAACTGATCTGGGAACTGAAATGCCCGAGTCACCAGGGGTGACCTTGCAAACTTGGCCTTTATTCATACAACATGCACAATCATCACTGTCTTCATTGCCCCAGGGTGCTCCCCAAATGTCAGGGAGGCCATAAAAGTAAACCTAGTTCTTGCTCCATCTGGATCCACCATCTTTCCAGTCTCCTTCCACCTGTACCCCGACTGTCCCATCCCCACATGCACCAGGCTGCCCACCCCAGCCACACTTACATGGACAGCACCTTCACTTCCAAGATTTCGTGTCTCAGCTCCAGGCATCTTGTGGAGTTATATTCTAAAGGGCCCTCGTAAAATTCAAAGTACCTGGAAACCAATAGGAACAGAAGTTACTATGCAGAGAAGCCCGCCAGACTTTGGGGGCCTGCTGGAGCTCTTGCAGGGAAAAGTGGGGTGGTCGTCAAGCCTGGTCAAATAAATAGTGCAAACCTGCCCCACTCCAGCAGATGACCTGGTGGGGGCCTCCAGGACCACCAGAGCCCTCCAACTTAATCATTGGGTGGTTGGTTACTCGCAGCACCCCACTACTCTGAGAGTTTGAGCCCACTTCAGCACATGAATTCAGAATTAAGATGCAGGTTTGGCTCCAAGTCCATGCTTGTGAAGGTGAGGGGAGAAGGAGCCAGCTCTGAGCACAGCCTCACTCTGGCTCCTCCTTGGGACCAGCCACTGAAATAGGCAGCACCAAGGTCAGGGTGGTGAGCCTCGGGCCATCAGCGGGCCCTATTCTTTTCGGCCTTTTACTCCTTTCTCCTCTTCTTGGAAAAGTATCACACACTGGCAGACACAGACACAGCTGAGATCTGCTTTTTCTACCACATGCATTTCCTTTTTTTTTAGCATCCTCATGCTTCCATTGTGACTGAGTAAGACTGATATTTCTTTCTCCCCAGTTAGCAGTTGAGAAAACTGAGGCTAAACACTAGGAACTCCAGGTCACACTGTCAGTGTAGGGCAGGGCAGGGCTTGGTCTAGGTCCCACTGCACAGGCGCCCAAGCCCTTGCCATACCAGCTGGCTCCAGGCAGCCCAATGTCCATCCGTGGCTCCATGCAGGATAACAATACTAATTGCAGCCAGTGCTTGCTGAGCCCTCACCACCAGCTAAATCAGGGCCAAGAACCTGACATGAATGTGGGCACTGAGTCTTCATAACCAGGCTGCAAGGTAGATGGCATCATAAGCATTTGGAACAGGCCTTGGGAGTAAGCTCACTTGCCCAGAGGCACACAGATGGTGGGTGGTGGGTTGGCCATGAACCTCCATGTTGTTGTTCTTGTTCACTCAGCTTGTGTCCCCTGGAAAGGGTCCTGTGGCCTCCCACAACCACTTCAAGGCCTCTCCGTGCTATAACTCCATTACCCACCCCCCAACTGAGGGCTGGGTATATGGTCCTCACCAAGATAAAACAGTACAGGCACACCTCAGGATGCATTAGATTTGGCTGCAGGCCACCACAACAAAGCAAATATCACAAAAAAACACATCACACAACTATGTTGGTCTCCAGCGCATAGGTTGTATTTACACTATACTGTACTCTAGTGAGTGTGCAATAGTACTATGACTAAAAAACTGTGTATACCTTAATTACATGTGACCCAGAGACACAAAGTGGAAGCTGGAAGAAAAAAGATGCCAAAAGACTTGTTCAACAGAGGGTTGTCACAAAGCTTCAATTTGTATTTAATGTATATGATGCACATAATGCAATATTTATGGGGCACAATAAAGCAAATGCAATAAAATGAGGTGTACCTGTGGCTCACATAGGGCTCAACCATGGAGGCAGGAGGGGGCCTCCCCAGGCAGAGGCCAGGCACAACCTCTCCTCCTGGCCTCTCTGGAGGTTGTTCAGAAGAGGCTGCGGCAGATTAAGCTGCAGGAGTCAGAGCCCATAATAGCATCAACACCAGAGAATCGAGAAGCCTGCAGGTCAAGTCACCCTGAACTTGGGGTCAGTGTCCTCATGACAACTTACCTGGAGAATCAGAAGTGGGATTGGCACCCCAGGGTCCTTTAAGACATGACCAAGGATTTACAATAAAGTCATTCCTCCAGCACTTGCCAGAAACCTTCTCTTATGGTAGTGATTCCCTGTGTATTCCCACATGCCTGACTTATATGCACAAACTTAAGTATATGCTGTTTCAGAATTACTAAGACGTTTTCTCAATAATAGGTTTCTTTTAAAAATATTTCATTTTAAATAACTGTTAAATATAATATTACATTTAATACTTTTACATTTGTTATATTTATAGTGATTACTAAGTTTAATATGATTTAGTAGCTAATTTCAAACTATCGTAATTATATATTTAAGAACTTTAATATTTTAAAATACTAAAACAAATTGACTCCTATTCACAAAATAAATGGCTTCTTTGTTCTCGGGTCATAAAAGAATTTAAGCAGAGTTAATGAGAACAAGGTACAGAGGATCCCCAAAGTGTCACATTCACTTTTTCCTCTCTGTCTTCTTTGTATTTGGTACTCCTTTCTCTGTCTTTCTCACCTGGCAAACTCATATTGATCCTTCAGTATCCGGTAAAATGCCCCTACTCTGTAAAGTCTTCTCTGACCCCCACACCTAGGGTCCCTCTGATACAAAGAAACATTATATCTTTAATTAAAATAAGTTACACTGCATTATATAATACAGTATCTTGAACATAAGGACTTGGTTATCTCTGTACTACAGAGGTAAGAAAGCTAAAAACTATATTTCCCAGACTCCCTTGCAGCTAGGGTTCCTAGTGGTTGAACTACTCAGTAGCATTTGCTACTTGGATTCGGAGCTATGTTCTAGTTGAAGAATGACAAGGTTCAAGGTGTTGTTTTGCTGGTGCACAATGTGGCACAGCTCTTGGAAACTGCAGTGATGGCAGCACTTCTGTGATTATATCAGAGGCAGCAGATTTCACAGTGGCTTTATTTCACAATGCAATTTGGGGAGGCATTCCTGGAAACTCAGCTGAGGGTCTTTCTTCAGCTTGTCAGCAATGTTGTTAGCTGTACTCTTAATAAATCCCTTTCTGCTTTAACTAAGTGGTTATCTGCAACCAAGAACAAGGGGCCAGCCTGAGGCCACCAAAAAAAAAACAAAAAAAACAAAAAAAAAACAAAAAACCTGACCTTGGCTCTAATTGACATCACTTTCCACTCACACAATAGTAAGTGAGGTCTGGTGTCTTATCACAAAGATCATCATTTGCAACCAGAACCAGTGGCACTAAGTTCTTTGGAACCACTGGGTCACCTGAAGCCATGTTCTCAGGCTGCTGCTAAGAAAAGCTCCAGATTCAAATGATGCAGAAGTTAATTAGGAGGAGACTTATCCTAGAGTTCTCATGAAGTTGGGGGGACTGGCAGACACCTCTTGGATATGCCTCTAAACCAGCTGTGTGACTCAGGGTAAATCACTTCCCCTCTCTGGACCTCTTCTTTTTCTCCTACTTAAAATAATCTGTGTGAACTAGGTAATAGCTAAAGGACCACCCAGCACTAAAATACAACCTCACATTTCCCTCACTGCTTCCCACTCACCGACCAAGCCAGAAAAATAGTATGTATCAATGACCCACAATAAACAAGAGGAAGAAACTTTCAAAGAAAGTTAAAACCAAGCAGCACCTCCCCTTCCACCAGCCTCTCCACTGCCTCCACAAGTGCTGGAGGAATGACTTTATTGTAAATCCTTGGTCATGTCTTAAAGGTGTCACACCTCCCTTCAACCACCTTCCTCTAAGACTCTCTTTTTCCTGCATCCCCACTGATATACCAAAGCGGGCAGCACTGTGACTCTAAATGGTCTTGGGTCATGTGTCTGCTGGCTGTTGTTAAGTGGAGAGACTTTAGGAACTAGGTTCACATCCTTTACCCCATCAGCTAGCTACCTTAGGCTAGTCACTAACCTGAGCCTTAGTTTCTTTATCTGTAAAACTAATTAAAAATGCAGCACATGTGCAACAGGCCGAGTTAAGATATTGATGAGAATTTCAGGAAAGGCACTGGCACAGTGCCTGGCACACAGATGTTTCCAAGAAATATTCACTCTTTTTCTCCCCTTTCTCCAGCTGTCAAAGGGCAAGAGCTGTCAGTGGATGCCCAGCTTACAGCCCCTCAGCTTGCTTATGGCAGAGCTGGGTCAGGGATGAATAACTCAAGAGGTGCCTCTACCATCTGGGCTGGCTGGCATCCTCCTTCTCCTGCTATTACTACACCTCTCTCCTCACCCTGCAGATCAAGCCCACAAGGAGTTCCTGGACATGGGGCTGCACTTGAATACCCATCTCTGTGGCAGACTCTATTAACTATGTGTTGCAGAAGACATCTGGGGCCTGTTCCCTCCCAGGGTTAGCCAATTTCTAGAGATAGTGCAGGACTCATGGCCTGTGAACACACTCTTCCTGTGCAAAACAATCAATCCACAGCTCATACTCTACCTCTGCCACCACCACCTCGCCTCACACTCAAGGCCAATATCCTCAGCTCTAATCACCCCAGGGCCTGGTACCAGGCAACTAGGACAGCCTCTGTACCTCTGAGCCCACTGACATCATTCACACTAGCCAATCCCGAGCCTCTGTACTCTGCCTTACCTGTTCCTGCCTGCTTTTTCCATACTCCCCTGCCTCCCGGCTGACCCTAGTGACCCCACACAGTGGAGTGTACCTCCTGTTTCTAGGGATCTGAGTACACAGAGCTCTTCCTTCACGACAATTATCTCACCACACTGATGACAAGCAAGCACAGGTACCCCAGCAGCCCTCCACGTGGTACCTCTGTGAAGTTATCAAAACTGTCAACATTTGGGTAAAAAGCCTCAGTTTTCCCATCTGGAAAATGTCCCTTGCTTCCTTCCTTTTGAGGGCTGTGCTGCTTCATCTTAGTCTCTATAGATACCTGAGTGGAGGAAGTAAGGTGGCTAGAAGCACTGTCATACCAGGCGACCCTGGACTCTGCTTCCCCACATCCTGAAGGAAGCTATGGGGACCCTGCTATCCAGACCATTACACGACATCACACACGCAGTGTAAATTCTTTTGTGTGATGACAAGTGAAGATGTTCAATGACAAAACCAAGTGGACAATGCAAGCCACAAAACTGACACCCCAAAAGAATTATATATTCATATGTGGATGCAAGGGGAAAGAACTGTAATGAAATATTAATACCTGATTCCTGTGCAATGGGATTATGAGTGATTTTAAAAAAAGCTTTTCTATATTTTCTAGAATGGGATTATGATTCTTTTATTATGGAAATCACTAATATAAGCCTTTTCATTCTAAGTCATGGGT